TATATATATATTGTGCTGATAAGCCTGAGTGGTCTGTTGACTGACCTTTGTATTTGTTCAAATAATTGTTATTGGCAGGTTACAATATAAAAATGTTTGTTATAATCATGTCTTGTGATTATTTAACAGGAGTTTTACTTTTAAACTGTAAGAGTATTTAATTTAGTTACGTTAGTTATGATAGTTTAGTTATAATGTAAATACAATAAAAATTAAACCAAGATTTAGAATAATTATCATTTTGATCCATTCATTGGTAATGTGTGACTGGGCCTCGTGTCACTTTATGTTCAACAAATTGGGCCCCGAGGTCAAAGAGGTTAAGAACGCCTGGCAGAAGTTGTCTAGCTTGACGGGGCCTCAACATGAAATATGGAGACTCGTGCTTATCCACAGTTCATAGTAACATAGAAAAAAAAAGTTTTATTTCAAACAAAATCTCGATGAAACATTTTTAGGCAGTTACTACTAAAAGGGTAAAACCTGTTAAATAAACATTTTCTTTTTCTTTTTTCAGCTGAAGTCCTTTCACAATGAACTACTCTCAGAGCTTGAGAAGAAAGTGGAGCTGGATGCTCGATATTTGACTGTGAGTACCTGGATCTGTCCCCCTGTTTCTGACATGAGAGGATTATGCAATGCTCTGTTGAGTTCATGTTAATGAATGCATGAAATGTATTGATTTTAGTCAAAGCTGTGTCAAATGACGTGATAACCGAGAAGGCTGTGAAGCTGCGCGTGTTAAGTTCTGCTTTTTAAAATCAGTTTCTGCAACATTTCACGTTTAATAAACCATCAGGGGTAGACTGATTATAATAAGCCCCTTGTAGAGTGTGTGTAAGAGCTGCAGAGTGGGTCTACATGTGATATCTTTAGAATGAGTGGGTTGCAGCCTAATGTGCAGCAGTTCTGCTGTGCGTTGTTTTGGGGGGGGGGGATGGGATGACACTGACATAATTTTATTGTTTTGTTGGGGAACAAAACAACAATGAAGCTGCTGTAGCTTACACACAGTGTAACATTTAAAAAATCAAACTGATAAATAGTTTGACTAAACCGTTATAAGTAAAATAAGAAAGTGAGTTTACATTAGGTCATTAGATTTCATCTGAACAAAAGCATTTAATGATATATTAAATGGGTTTTTATTGTCTGAACTAAAATAAAATGGAAAAAAAAAAGTCGTCTGCACAGCTCCGGAAACATTTATGTTCAGGTTTTTGTATATTTGCATGATTTTCCACTGATCTGTCACAGCAACAATTACAATCACTTAGGTTCAGAATAAATGCTGGTGCGTGCTGAAAAAAAAGAAAAGAGATTAGAATTTGATGTTGAGGCGCAGCAAGTTTCTGTATCCTTTTTTTCAGATTTGCAGTTGGTGCTCACAAAGTTTCAGAGTGTGTGTCAGTCATTACAGAGTTCAGAATGCAGGATTCAACCTAAAACTGACCTCTCAGTTTCCAATAAGATTAAGGCAGAACAGTTATCTTCTTGTTGTCGCAGACAGTGATTCAATTTGTTGGTATGGAGGTCAGAGTACACTACATTTAGTGTTTTGGCTCAGAGGTTCAGTTCACACAAAGAAGGGCAGTTATTGTGTATCATCTTGTTTACACAGTCTGACCCCACGAATGAAGAGCAAAGTTTCTTTTTCTTTCTTTTTTTTTTTTTACATAGATCTGTCCCCCCTTTTCTGCTCTAAGTAGGATTTACTACGTGGGCTGGAGATTTTGGACTAAAAGCCTTGAACAGAATTTTTACATGTCAATACACTAAACTGTGGGGTCTGCATGGTATAACTGAGGTCATCTCCACCTGTCCACAAAAGTCCTCCAGGTGTGTGTGAAGATGATTGCAGATCTATCACACTGAACACAGACAGCGACCATAAAACCCTTCAAAAGATGATGCCAAATAAACTACAAGCAGAAAAAAAAAAAAAAAGAAAACAAGGTGGTTGCTTGTTTAAAAATAAATTAAAAGCCTAGCATTGGAAGGAATGACCCACTTTCTTTCATGCCAGAGTTTTAGACTAAAACATCTGATGTTTAAAAAATCAATGAGGATAATGTAGCCATTTTGTTTAAAACTTTAAAATGTTATGAACCATCTCATATAATATCACCTGATATGCTCAGAGTATGTGTTCTGAATGCCTCTCAGCTACAACAACAAAACTTAACTGAGTTATGCTGTGTCTCAGTTCAGGGTTGCAGCCGACATTTGTCGCCACGCCATGACGTAGGCTGTCCCAATTTGTAGACGCCTACTRARGTGGCCGAGAAAACTCCCAAAACTTAGGCTGCATCTGAGTATCTTACGTGGCCGACAATAACCCAGGATTTATTGCACTGTCAGCAAACTAAACAGAAAATAACAGAAGCAGAGTTTTTTTTTCATACAGCACAGTTCGGAAATAATTTGTATTTAATGTATGTTTAGCAACATAACTGATGAAATTTATGGTGCAATGAGATGTGAAATAAAATGCAATTACAAGCGCTGATATTGAAACTAAACCCAAACTGTTTTTGTTTTTTGTTTTTGTTGGTTTTGTTTTTGTTTTTATTTTATTTTATTTGTAATGTTTTACATAATACTAAATTTTGTAAACTGATACCATGAAAAGTAAGTGAGTAAACTTTATTTCTATAGCACCTTTCACAGACACAAACATCACAAAGTGCTTCACAGAAAGCAAAAACAATTAAAAACAAAACAGATCACAGATATAAAAACAACAATTAAAACACAGACACACACAGAAAAAAAAACACTTAACTAAAAGCCCGTCTGAATAAAAATGTCTTCAGATGTTTCTTCAGAGTCAGTAGAATCTGAGCAGCGAAGGGACAGAGGGAGAGCGTTCCAGAACCTCGGGGCCACCACCTGAAAAGCTTTGTCTCCACAGGTTTTAAAGACAACTGAAAGCACGTGATATAAAATGTATCACCATGTCAATGGGGCAGTGCGTGGTCACGCAAACGTACGTTGACCGTCTCATTTCATTGCTGATTATGCAGCCTACACGGGCTGCYACCCCTGAATTGAGACTCAAATACTGTCCCTTTTGCGTTAGCCAGTATTGATCAGCTGTGGCAGACAGTTAATTGGATGAACTCGTATACTCCTACATTTTACATCCTAGTTTCATTAAAATCCATTCAGTGGTTCGTGTGATATTTTTCTGAGGTGAAACAAACTCATTGACAAACCAGCGCATTATCCCCAACTGTTCGGCTGGAGTGTAAAGCTGTAAACTCCTGACTTAAATGACGTGGTGCAGCTGTAATGGAAATAATGCTTTTAGGTTTAAGCCAGTAATTCATGTCATACTTTAATGACCTAGGTTTTCATGACATTCTGTTCATCAGTGATTATAGCCAGAACAAGGTCTGCTAACAACAATCATTCTTAGATATCACGTGTTTATCTTTGTGTTTTCCCTTGACCCGACCCAGCATTTACTTAGAATGAAATCTTGCTTTATTAAGATGACATCATYGTGTTTGTTAAACAGTATATATGAGGCCTCAAAGAAGCAGAAGCAGGAGCAGAGGGGACAGTCTGATGTTGTTGTCTGTGTTTCCTGTTGTTGCAATAAAACTCAGCTGATCATCCCACAGAGTACCTTCATTCTTGGACCACGTTGTTGTAATAAAACTCAGCTGATCATCCCACAGAGTACCTTCATTCTTGGACCACGTATTTCTTTCTTTGTTAAATAAATATTACCATAACACAGCAATCCCCAGAATAGTAGGAATGCTTGTGGTTGCACAGTTTTTCTGCACGTGAACACACAATAATGTTAAAGCCCGTTTGTTTCTGCTCAAATGTGGCTGTCAAAAACCGAGCAACCTGTGATGGCTTACCATCTCAGAGTATGAAGAAATGAAAAGAATGAGTCATTCACTGCTATTTTCACAGAGCTACCAAGCTCATAAAGGTGTGAACGCTTGATTTGGTTCATTTTAGACAAATATTTCAGGGAGGCAGCTGATGTGGAAAAATACAAATTAGTAGGAAAATATGAAATCCCAATTGAAGCCAATGTTGGAAAAATGACTGCTTGAAGTTTCTTCTTCGCCTCAGACCTGCAGATCTCAGACGACACACCTGTGCTGTAAAACCCCAACACATTGTGAGTCAGGCTGCACATCTCTCTGACAGCAGCAGCTTCTGCTCKGCTCGTCCTGAGAAATACCTGCCCATGGTCTCGTTTTCACGCGGCATGCAAATGTGGGTGTTGAACCCCGTTCGTGAGCGCTTCTCTTCCAATTTRGCCTCGCAGAGAGACCAACGTGAGCGTTCTCGCACCAGACACTGTTACCATAGCAACAGAGCTGCTAAAAGCCAAGGAAGCAAAGTTGCTTCCTTCCTTGATAAATAAATAATAAAAGCAAGTCAAATTAATAAAACGAAAGGACTGCGCTGTTTAATTAGGATTTGCCACGAATTCCGTGTTTATTTCTGCCTCCGTCGCAGGCTGCAGCCGATGTTGATTGCTCACTTGGTGTGATGAAAATCAGCRGAAGCCACGTCGCGTAGCCTCGTCAATGGCAGCAGATGTTGTGAAGAGGCAGTGTTGATGTCAAAACAACCCTATAAAAAATTAAAACAAAACTGGATTTTGTTTAGAAGCATATGAATACAGGCATTTTATTAATTGAAGTTATTTTGAGGGTTTTCTAAAATACGGTTAGTCTAAATGCTGTTTGAGCCTCAGTACTGATGTGCAACATTCAGTTCTTTAATATTAAAGCTGCTTCATCAGGGCAGCAACACAAGGACTGATTCTTTTCCTCTGTTAGGCTTTAGTTCAATGTTAAAGTAGCATTGTTTTTTCATACCAGGACTTTGTAACAACATAAAGCTTTGATTCAAGTCATATACAGATGTTTGAATGTTGACTTCGGTTTTGCCAGAATGCTTCCTTTTCTGTCTACAGTGCAAACTTTTTAAAATTGTAGACCTTTTTAAAATTTTCTTCATTTTTTTAAAATTTACTCCTTCATTCTTCACACAGGCTGCCTTGAAGAAATACCAGATGGAACACAAGAACAAAGGGGAGAGCCTGGAAAAGTGCCAGGGGGAACTAAAGAAGCTGCGAAGGAAGAGCCAAGGCAGCAAAAACCCTTCAAAGTATGGAGACAAGGAGATGCAGGTGAGCTTCCTGACGAGTTTCATCTCAGACGATGAAATGATTTTATATCAGTTCTCCTCTATGCAGTTGCACTAAAACCCCATTCAGTAACTAACGTCAGATCTGTTAGTTATGAACTTGAAGTTTTCTTTGTGGAACAACAAAAAAATCAAGAAATACTGCAATGAATGCACTCTGTCAGATTGTTGCTCTGCTTGTGTCCCTGATTCCCAGTTTTGTAGAGTTGCAGTTCATTGGTAGATGGTTAAATTTGAGTTTTGGTGGGGAAGGAAGGATCTAACTACTTTTCTGAAGCTAAAAAGCACAGAATCAAGACAAAAAAAATGGTAATTAAAAATGCCTGTGTAGTGTGGATATTTGTAACAAAACATCTAACAGGGTTACCTGAAGTGATGGACAAAAATATGCTTCAGATACTGATATATTCTGTTCATAGCTGCCTTACTTTTAAGTTTTGGCTTTTTTTTTTTGGTTAATAGTAACACAAAATAAACAAAAAAGACTTCTAAAAGCAGAGGTGTCAAAAGTATTCATTTTCATTACTTAAGTAGAAGTATGGATACTAAGGTTTAAAAATACTTCTTTGGAAGTAGAAGTATCAACTCGAGCTTTTTACTCAAGTAAAAGTTCAAAAGTACTGGTTTCAAAACTACTCAAAGTATAAAAGTAAAAGTAATGAATACTTAAAAAAAGCCACTAAGGATAAAAGCCTTAGTGTAACCTGTGACACTGTATAGCGCACCCCCCKCCAAAAAAGTATTTTAAAGTCAATAACGAGTAAAATAAGTTAAGGCTGAGTTCACCTGAAACTCATCAGACTGAAGAAGTCTCTTGGACAAGAGATTAAACGTTTCACTAAAGAAGAACCCATCCAGAGGACCTACTTATTTTTCTTTTTGATATAATAAGTTAAACTGAATGACATTTTTGGAATTAACTGACTAGACAACTTGTTTCAGCCATGGTCATCTTCATTCTGGGCTACATGCATCTGATACAGCAGAGGTTCTCAAACTGGGGTCCCAGGACCCCCAGGGCTCCGCGAGCAGTGTCTTGGGGGTCCTCAAAAAATTCAAATAAATTGTTAATTTGGTTTTATTTAAAAAAAATGCATATAGGGAATAATGAACTAGTAAAACAAACATACTAAAACAAACCAAAATATTACCATGGCATTTAGGGGTTACAATAACAATAAATTATTTTGAATTAACAGCATGGGGTTTATGAGGGGGGTCCCTGGAATTTTTTCACCATTGTAAGGGGTCGCTAGACCCAAAAAGTTTGAGAACCCCTGTGCTACATTATATATATTTTTTCTTTTGTATTTTTAAAAAGTAAGGAGTAAAAAGTACAGATTATTGAATTAAAATGTTAGAAGTAGAAGTAAAAAGTGGGCTTACAAATAATTACTCCACTAAAGTATAAACAACCTAAATTTCTACTTAAATAAAGTAACAAAGTTTCTGTACTTAGTTACTTGACACCTGTGTCTAAAAGCCACCAGTAGGTCATGTAAGCAGCCAGTAACTCCAATATTCTAACAAGTTTTCAGGATCTCTGAACTTTATACTGAAAAGACAGATGTAGAAATAGGTGTGTTATGCAAATTTAAGTGATCTTTCCCATGACAAATCAACCTATGACAAAGCACTTCAGATGAAACCAAGTATTTCATGTGATATGTTACTGTTGCTGCTTTTGTCACATGAAGTTTTCATCACATGACCACCTCCTACCTGATGGGGAAACACACAATCCTTTTCTGCGTTAGCCCACATTCTAAGACTTCACTTATTTTTTTTGCTCTTGTTTGTTTTGGTTGCTCTCTTCCCAAGGGTTATTACTGAAGTGAAAAAAAAAAAACGGTAGAATATGTCAAGAGTTTATTGGAGGCTGGAATTCGGGCTGAAAAAAACGTAACAGGTCAAGGCTTGCAGCGGTTATTTACTGAGCTGCTTTCAGCAGTGTCAGGTAGAAAAAAATGTCAGGAGACGAACTTTTCTGGAGTTCACTGGTTATAGACATGTTGTTCTTTGGTGCTCAGTTTCCACATGAAGGACTCTGTCCAATCAGTTTACATGCTGTCAAATACACAAACACATCTGCCTCATCCTGTCTGCAGTGGCATGGCAGCACTGGATTGATCTGACTGCTGCGTCGCATCAAGTTGGTTCCATTGTGTCAGAAATGCCTTGAAGAGTTGCTGTATTAAGTGTCATCATAAGGCATCAAGTTGGGTGATGTGCTCAGGAGTCCAGTGGAGCATGAAGCCAAGCTTGAATGGGAGCAGAGACTGTAGGCCTCACACCAGTAAACCAGCTGAAAGGACCGGGTTAATGCATACCTGCTTTTTTAAGTGGGTTGTTTATCTTTTCGAGTGGTTATTGAGTCACAATGATAAAAAAAAAAAATTGTACACCTGACAAAAGTCGAAATATCAATAAGACTGAACAATAATGCTTGCACACAAAGCACTAAAAGAAATCTGTGCAGGGAAAAAAACAGTTTGTTTCTGCTGTTTCAAATCTTATCTCCAGGAACAAGTTTTTGTCAAAACTTAACCATTGCTTGCTCAAAGAAAACATGCATGTAAATCATTAATTGTATGAAATTCAAAGTGATTCTAGCAGAGATCCGTGTAAAGTTGAAGGTGCAGCAGAGGCAATGTTTTTTTCCAACACCCTAATAAAACATATAGGTGTCTGTGTTTACACCTGTACTGGTGATTTATCTTATTTAAAACCTTTTTTATGTCGTCATGTAAATGTTTTCGTGATGTTAGTGCGGAGATGAGTTCCAGGCATGATTTTATCAAGCAAAAAATGTTCATTTGCTATCCTAATATAGGGGCAAGTTCATATTGGTGTTTTTTTTTTTTTGTCCTATTTCTGGATTCAAGAAATTTTTATTTTAAGGTCTTACAGTTTTAAATAAACCACAGTTGGTAAACACAACATTCAATCACAGCCAACTGAAGACAAAAAATACTTAAATAGTTAGAACACTGCCAGTTTGGCAGATATTTATTTAAATTCAGTGTGGAACTCTGACAGATTGGGCAAGAGCTTTGAGATTTTGGCGTGGACTTTTTGGCATCCACTCTGTTGGCAAAATATATCATTAACTACTGGATGGTCTTAGGAGAAATTGAGTTTCTAATAAGAAAAAAACTAGGCCTCTCACAATAAGCAATAAATCAATTAATTGCATGATAAGTTAAAATGAGGTCAATTGCATAAATTTGCCTGCTTGTTTTCTTCACATCGCCCTCCTTTCTCTTCCTTAGCGTAGTCAGGTATTTACCAGGTGCGTGGTCTTATAACCTCTGCAGCATGAGAGCCCCATAAACAGGGAAAATCTTTGGTTTTTCCAACGCCGCCTTCCAGCTGGTGGCTCCTCAGCATACGCTGCTGAACCTTGGGGTTGTCAAGAGTTGTTTTATTTTATGCAACGCAAGTTTCATGTATTTGTGTAAACTTTGTAAGCAGTGTGGGGTGAAACCAGAAAGACACGTAAAGAATAACTTGTCCTGACTTGGATAGAAGTGGGTAGTGATGTTACAGCTTCAGGAGCTGCTCCTGCTTGTTGTTTTCATAAACTCTGCTCCCATTGCATCTGTAAATTTCGTAAACATTCATAAATTTTGTGGTCTTCAAACTATTTTATCATTTATCGCAATAATTTTTGAGACAATTTATTGTCCAGCAAAATTTTATATCTTTTGTAGGTCTAGAAAGTCTACTTAGTCTTAAAAGTAAATAAAATATGTCTCAATGGAGACGCATGAATTATTATCCTTATCAGAGAGCAATTATCTTTAAACAATTTAAACAACTTGAATCATGGTTCTTTGTTTGCTAGACAAGCGTGGACAAACTAAACTGCTCCGGGGGCCGAACATCCAGCAATTAAAGTCATGTAATTAAACAAAGTATTACAAAGATCTGTTACCTTTTGAAATAGTTTATTTGGCTGCATTTAATCATGATTACATCATACAGAACCCTATGTAATTAAAGTAGCGATAATAAAACAATGTCAAAAACAAACAAAAAAAAACCACATTCTGCCTCCTATTTAACACAAATATGTTTATCTCTGACTTGCCAAATTTTAAAACCAATTTTATTTTCACTTTCATATTTTTATATTCAACCGCTTGTAGTTTTAACTGTCTTGGGTGTTCATATAAATGTTTTTTACCAGCTTGTAGCCAAGATTCTGACGTTTCTGTAGACACAAAACATGTCTATGTCTAACTAAAAGAACTTTATGTCTAACTAAAAGAACTTAAAGTAATTAAAGTAGAAAACTGGATGTTTGGGCTTAAGAGATGAATGAACCAATTGGCGGGCCAAACTTTGGTCACTCGTGGGCCGGATGTGGCCCGTGGGCCACCAGTTGAATAGCCCCGACTTAAGTCCACAAAGAAGATTTATTTTCACATTATTGTTCTACTTAATCTTAGCAGTTCATATAATAGTGACTCAAAGTGAGAGAAGGTAATTGGGGAAAATACTCTTCAGGCAAGTGACTAGGATGGAATAAATGGAAAAGAAACAAATATTTTTACACTGTGCATTTGAACATACATTATCGTTACCTCACACTCTCGCTGAGCCTGTATGACTGATCAGTTGGACCCATCTGTGCAGAGGGAAGCGCTCATCATACCGTGGACTCATAATTTACAGTCTGTTAGCAGTAAAAAAGCAAAATCAATCTCCCTTTCTCATTTTCAGCCTGCTCACTTTCACTGATCATATCACGGCTGTGGGCGTGTGAGAGAAAAAAGTCAACTCGTTTGTGCCGGAGCCCACAAGAAAGCATGGCTCCACAAAGAGCGAGCGAGCGAGCGAGAGCCCTGCACTCCCACAAGACCTGTGCTTCACAATGACAAGCGTCCACCTAGAAAAGGAGTTCAGATTGTAACAGATCGTACGCTTTATCTTGTGTGCGAGGAGATGGCCTCTTTCAGGCAGCAGGAGGCCCGTAAA